ACCTTCTTTGCAACAGTGCCATATTATTAATTCCATTTTTACAGATGAAGGAACTTAACCTCATAGATGTCAAATGATTTGTCCAGGGTCATATAGCTAGTGAATGTTAGAATTGGCTTATGAACCCTGCATACCATTAGTCCAAGACCAGTGCCATTCCCATTGTATCAAGGTGCTTCTGTGATGGGATATGGCATGATCTCAGGAACTATTGCAATGTGTTGGGTTCTTTGCCATCACTCTAAAGGACCCCAGCCTGTCATGCTTTGTAAGATCTTCTGTCTGTTTTTATAATCTCTTTCTCTGTCCCTCTCCTTTTGGTGCTAATCCTTGATGCATGTTGTCTCTCCAATTAGACTGTGAGCTACTTGAGAACAAGGACTGTCTTTTGCCTTTAGTTGTATCTCTAGCATTTAGCACAATGCCTGGCACATAGTAGGTGCTTAATGCATGTTTATTGATTATTGTCCCTGTGTCATTCCTTTGAATTTACTGTAGGCTGAGAAACCAGATACCCGTGCTTCAATTTAACTCAACAAATATTTATTAAACACTCTATTCAAGGCACTATGGCTAGATATAAAGTCAAAACCCCCAAAACAGTGCTTGCTCTTAAGGAACCTATAATCTATGGTATGATGTAACATGCACACAGATAAGCAAATACAAGATAATTTGAGAATATGGCAAGCACTAACAATTAGAGGGAACAAGGAAAGCTTTTCAAAGGAGTGAGCATCAAAATGAGCCTTGAAGAAAACAAAGAGTTCTTAGAGGCAGAGGTAAGGAAAGAGTGTATGGGGGAAGGATAGCCTGTAAAAAGGCATAGAGATGAGAAATGAAATTCTGAAAGATACAAGTTAGTTAGATCTGTTCCTTTATCCAGATAGAGGCAGATATGATGAATGATCAAAATGCATGCATACAACTTCTCACTTCAAAGAAATTCAGCCAATTTCAATACTTGGCTTTTTCTGCTTACCCTAAGATTAATACATTTATATAAAAGACTCTAAACTCCTTTGACTATTCCAGTATAAAAGGTTACACATTTCTAACATCTGTAGGCCCTCTAGACCCAGTCTACAGCAAGCTGGTTTCATGGAACTCTTCTACATCAAGCCAAAGTAGAGACCTAGAGAAGTCAGTGAAGTAGAATCTGAACATACCTTACACATTTATACATGAGTGAATATGTATACTAAATTAGTGTGAATACAAATAATACACCCTGTAGTTGGATCAACCTAGTAGGAGACTTTGTCTGTGTTCCTTGGAATCTCTGAACCTGATTAACTTCAAGTTCTGGGAATAGTAAGTAGACTAGTTTGGTTGAAATGAAGAGTACAGGTAGGGAAGTGATATAAAAAAAAAATCTAGGAAAAATAGTCAAGAACCAGACTGTGAAAGTCTAAATGCCAATCTGAAATATTAGTATCTATTCCTAGAGGAAATAGGGAACTACTGAGAATTCTTTAGGAGCAGCATAATCTTACCCCTGATTTAAGAAGGTAATTTTGACAACTCTGTGGAGGAAGGATTGGAGAGCGGAGAAACTGGAAAAAGGGAGACCAGTCAAAAGGATATTCCAATAGTCTAGGTGAGAGGTAAGGAGACCCTGAACCAGAGTATTAGTAATGTGAATGAAGAGAAAGGGAAAGATATGAGAGCTATTGTGAAAGTTTCTCCTAATAGCTTATAAACTCTGTGATAGCAAGGACCATATATGTCTCCAGTGCCTAGTACAGTGCTCAACACATACTAGACAATAAATGCCTGTGTAGTTGAAATGGATGAAATAGGTGTTATCTGCTTTGGTTGATTAAAACTATTTTTACTTGTTTCCAATTGTGTTTCAATAACTGACTTTGCAGGAGAAGTGATTTCTGCATGTAGGATTGGTTGGTTGATTGTTGTCCTTTGTTCTTGAAGAGGAAGGACCAAAATGACATCACTATGCTAGAGTCAAGTTATAACGGTCTGACTATGACTGATCAGACCAATGTGAGCCCAGGATGTTCTACCACAGGTCAGGCACAAAGTCAAAGTACACTACTTTAGTGAAATGACTGTATTTTTCCTCAACATACATGTATATGTATATGTGCACAGGCTTATATACATATACATGAATGTGCACATATATGCACACATACATGTGTATTACATGTGCACATACAACCTATAACTACATGTATACATATATTTGTGTATGCCTATAGTGCATATAAATATGCACGTATAATAAACTATGTATATGTGTGTGTATATATGTCTATGTTTATATATACATATACACACACACACATATACACACATATGAAATTAGAGTTAGAGGATCCAAAGGATAGAAAAGGCAGAAGAGAGGAAAAAGTGAGAGAAAAGGTGTAGAAGTGATAATGGCTATCAAAGAGTATGCTGATACCCTTTGGACTAGTTGTGGCTGGTTGTATATGAAAGCTGGGAGGTAAAAGTAATTTGCATAAGTTTCTGGAAAGCTAACTTCATCTATTTATTTAAATACATGTAAGAAGGATTTGAGAACAGATTGGCATCTTGGGATTGGTAGTTTGAGGGGACAAGCATTCCTTGTACACACACACACACACACACACACACACACACACACAGTGTGCAAGGGACACTCCATAGTTTTACCCTGGACTTAATAAGCTGAACCAGAGAGAATCAGTCATGGAGACAATAGGCCAATGGAGAATGAAAAAAAAAAGTAGGGCATAAAAGGGAGAGATTGAGGACAACCATCAGATATTTCAGAGGAGAAGTCACTGGGTGGAGGAGAAGCCAACGCTTTAGGTCTGAGGAAAGTTCTAAGGAGGGGTTTGCTTTTTCCCCAACTTCTCCCAACCTAACCTTTCCTGTCCACTAACAGACATGGTCCCATTCTGTGCTTGCTTCTTTACCCAAATGTTTCCAGTGACCTGAATTTTGCCTCAGCCATTAAAAATCCAGAGTAGAGATAAATATAAATTTAAGTTAGGGTAGGAGAGCCAAACCTCTATCTAAAATTTAAGTACTTTTCTAAATTGAGGCTCTGAGCTATCATGATTATACTTCTAACTTCTTGCTTAATCTGCAACACACAAAGCAGCAGAGATCACATGGAACTGAGGTTAGATTTAGGTGCCATGATCTTAATCCTAGGCTAAAGCTGAGTCAATCATTGTAACATGGTGTTTCTGTTTAAATCTCCAGAGATAAAGAAGTAGAGAGGAGAGGGCAACAATAAGTATCACTGGGCCAACTGCTTGTCCCTCCCAACAACCACTGGTGTTCCACTTAAATAGTAACACTTGTATTGCCTACTTTTTGGGGTAGTTATGAAGAAAGTGCTTTACCAACCTGAAATTGCTATGGAAATGTGAATAATTGCTCCAAGGTCATTTTTTTTGAGGTTTCTTAGGTGTTTACTTTTAAATAGCTTTGACTGAGACTATTTCCACACTTGCCACTTCAGCCATAGGGAAATAGGAGGGTTCCCTCATCATGGCTTCTTCTAAGAAGTCTAAATGCTTTAGCACTGACTTGGTTACTTTATCCTCACTGTGGTTCTCAGGGCTAATGAGGCTGCTGACTCTTTCCTTCTAAACAAAAATACTGGCTGTCAAACTGCAGCCCTTTATGTCAAAAACACTGACTTGAATGAATTACATTTGTATTGCTCTACCTAGAAGGCAATTTACTTTCATGTCAAGCATATCTGCTCCGTAGACCATGATATTTAAAATATGAGGCAGACAAATGCAGAGATTCTGTAGTCTATTTCCCTCTAGTAGGGATACCTCATTTATGAAAGAATTGGTGGAAAATAAAGGATAGAAGAGCTCACAAAATGGGAGTCAGTTTAACTTGGGAAATAGAAAAAGCATAGGACAGACAGGTCCTGTTTAATCCAAAGAAGAGGAATATATCAAAAGTGAAAAGTTTGAGCATTTGACAATTTTATGGAGGAAGACTCTTGGTCTTCAGTATCTTCCACTCTATGATGATAGGAATATGGTCCAGTTACTGTGATTTTTCTTATTTGTCAACTAAGTCAAAGTTCTAAATTCCAAAGCCATCAGTCAGGCTTGCCCTGTGAATTTATATTCCTTGGATGATGCTAGGCCCATAACCTAGTGAATGAATTGTAGTGAGACAGAAAAAGGGCCTTTTCATCTGTGACAGAGATAATCTTTCTCTAAAAGTGTTTGTTTTATGTTTATTGAGTTGTAGCTGCTGAATTTAGAAGGGCAGCTCTAAACTCAAAATGGAGACTAGATCCCCTCAAATACTTTAGAATCGTAGGTTTAGAAATAGAAGGAACCCTACAGATCCTATAGTCCAAACCCCTTATTTTACAGATAAGGAAACAGAGGCCTGGAGGGGGTAAGTGATTTGCCTAGTCAAACAAGGATTCAAATGAGAGAGTAAGTATTTGAATCCACATCCTCTGACTTTGTGGGAGAGAGAGAGAGATGATAGATTGAGAGACGGTAGATTTGGAGTCAGATTTGTCTCTGTCTCTCCCTTTCTCCCTCTTTCTCTTTCATACTGACTTTGTATTTGGCTGATATCTTATGAATTACCACATTGACCAAATTGAATAAAATTGGTTTAGGGTTATTTGATAAATATTTGAATTTGATTTCTAGAGAATAGGAGAGTACTTGAACATAATGAGATGTATTGTCACTTTATTCAAATTTTACTGTTTATTCAAGTCAATTTAAAAAAGTGCCCTTTCTTTGCAATGCACTATGCTGGTTTTTTTGTTTGTTTTGTTTTGCTTTTCACACGTTGCATGTGAAGTCTGTATATCCTTTAAGTGCTCAGGATAAATATAAATATGGAGCCATACACCATTGAATTCAGAAGTTAGAGATCATTGAGTAATTGAGTCTAACCCTCCAGTTTTTCACAAAAGGCAATAGAGGTCCAGAAAGATTGTCATTTTCTTTTCTTTTTTCCTTAATCTAAAATGCTCTTTTATTATTAAAAAACATATAGAGTGTTTCAAGAATATGCACGTCATCCTTTTTGCAGGGTTCATGGGAATTTTCTCTGTATTGTTCTGATTTTAATAGAAGAGTTTCCTAACCAAATATAGATTGCCATTTGTCCAAGGTCATTTGGTCGGTTGGTGACAGAGCCAAGAACAGAACCCAGACATCCTGCCTCACTGCCCAGTTTCCCCTGCAGCATTCCTGAAGTTTCAAGAAGCCAATGTTCCATTGAAAACATTGACATCTGCATGGGCATCCAGAATGGGTCTCCTGAGTGGAAGATAACTGGTATAGGTTACTGAAGCTAATGTGAACTATTTAGTGATCCTTAAATTAGTAATGTGGAGGGTTCTATCACAGGCATAGTCAAATGGCACAGTGCTTACTTAGTAATGCAGCAAAAGTTATAAGTCAATTAGCTTTGCTCTGTTCCACGGTTATATTAGTAACAGAAGGGATCAGAAAAGCTAGGATACAAACTCTACATCCTAGAAAACAAATGTACAGTTTATGCTCTATAGATACTATGCCATTAAAACCTCTTCACATGGGCTCCCACTTCTCTAATCTATCCAACATACTGCTGCCAGGATAAACCCTCTAAACTACAGTTATCAGAAAACCCTAGCACCTCAGTGGCTCCCTATTGCCTCCTATATCACATTTAATCCCCCCTGCCTGAATTTCAGGATCCTTCATAATTTGACACCTTTCCTCTTATGTAATTATATTTCCTTATAACTTCCTAGTGTGTATTACTTCTGTATCAGGTAAGCCTCTTCTTTATCCCCTACAAATGCCATGATTATCCCCTCTCCCTGTCTTTGCTCGTATTGATGTCTCTTGGAATGCCATCCCTCTTTCCCTTGACTTATCCAAACCTTGGTACCCTTTCAAAGGGCAGGTGAAGTCTCTCTTCATTCATGAAGCTTCCTCCAACTTCTGCAGCTTACCCACATTAACCTCACCCTTTCTCAATGATTACGATCTGTTTAATCATCTCCACAGAATACAACAAGTATGCTGAATGTTTAATGTGTGTTAGCTTTTTAAGCTTATTAGCGGCAGGAATCATGTCTCATTAGACAGTAATGGGACTAAATTTTCACCAACCTTACAGAACTCATACTTGTTAGAAGTCATAGGCCTTTCAAGTAGTCACCTCAGGAGGCTCTACACATATTCCATCAATGCTGTTATTTCCCCACAGCATTCCTGGGGTATTCTTTTGGAGCCTCCATAGCGAATTTGCAGGCCATATAAATACCAGTTTTACTTCTTTATCATTATTTCTTATTTTTCACTGAAAATATCATTATCCAGCTTAGGCTTTCCCAATAGACATTTCACAAAACAATTGTTGGTTGTTTCAGTGAACAAATTCACTCTCAAATGATGAAGTTTAGTCACCATTGAGTATATTCAAAAGATCCTTGGAAGCAAATCTAAAAATTGGGTTCCAAAAATGTTTTGAGTGATGCTGCACATAGTTAGATCAAAAGTATAACCACAAGGTACCGTTTTAAAGGAGCAGTACCCATCTCATTGTTTAAGTTCTGCTGGTTTTCAAAATGTCATTATCTCAGTTTAATGTAAAGTACACAGGAAATGCTTATCCTAGTGCTAGGTGCACTGATACTGAATAAGCATTTATGAGTGATTGAGGGATGGGCCATATTCATGCACAAGGAACAACATAGTATTATTAAGATTTTATTTTTTTTCTCTGAACTTAAACAAGAAAGAACATTTTCATATAAATAGCAGGCCTCAAAAAAGGACTGCATATGAAAAACTGAATCTCTGTTTCATACTATTTGCTGTTAAAAAAAATATGTAGCAGTGATTACTAACTCCTCCTCCTCCCACCATTGCCATAAGCCAGATGTGTCACATTTCCATCTCTCACCCAGAGTTCTTTGGTACCCTTGGGAGATGTAGGGTGTCTAGTCTTTGTCATTGGCTCAAGCCCTTAACCTATTACATTTCCCCCAATTTTAGAGGACCAAACACCCCAATTCAATTTAACCACTTAGCCATCAGATTAGCTTTTACAAAGAACTATTTATATCAAAGTTGTATTAAGATCAAAAATACCATCATTCCCCCAACACCTCAGAGATTAGTCATCCTTCTACCTTTTAAGTTTCTGGGAAGGTTCACAAATGAGCTCAGCTCAATATAGCATTACTCTCACCAAATTTCAAGTCCTCTGGACTTGCCTCCCAGCACACTGGCCTCTTGGGGTTTCCCTACTGGGCTAGTTGTAACAACTGGCCTGGAATCCTGGCTCCAAGATACCCAGGGCTTGAGCTCCCAAGTTTGGGGATTCCACCTTTCGTACCTGGAACTGAAAGGGACAAACAAAGCAGACCAAAACTCAAAGGTCATTTGTTGGAGCCTAAGGGCCTAAAGTGTCACTTCTCTTTCCAGTTTATTTCATGGTGCCAGTTCTGTGGATGCAGAAGACCTTCACCCAAGGACCGTATCACCACTTCTTATGACAGGTTAAAGATGCAAGCAGTTCCAGCTATGCAGCCAATGGTAAGATACTGCTCCCACTCATGTAGCAGCACAGCATAAGATGTCCTCTCTTAGAAGCAGGTCCTTGGCTTCTTTTACATGGTGCCTCTATTTTAGATGATCTGGGAATGTGCCAAAAGTCTGTTACATATACAATAAATTCCATCTGTTAACTTTCAAAACTATTCTGCTTGTTTCTTAACTTCTTTCAGTTCTCTTTTGTTCATTTTAGAAAATATTTCAATGCCTCTTTTTTTGACATCGTTATCGCTAAGTCCCTCCACCTTCCACCCATCACTAAACTGAGGGAAAGGGAAAAAAAATCTTTATAACAAATAAGTATAATTGAATAAAACAAATCCACTCTGGCCATGTTAAAAAAAAAGTGTGTCTTTCTGTACATTAAAGCCATCACTTTTCTGTCAGCAGATAAGATGCTTCATCATAGGTCTATTCATCATAGGTATGGCTGGTCATTGCATTGATCAGAGTTTTTAAGTTTTTCAAAGTTGTTTTTCTTTACAATGTTGTTGTCTTTGTACAAATTGTTCTACTTCTGCTCTCTTCACTCTGCATCAGTTCATACTATCTAGGATTTTCTAAAAAACTTCTTTTGTCTTTCTTATAGGGCAACATTATCCTATTATATCCATTCCCCAATTGATGGGCAACCCGTAGATTCTGTTGTTTTTATTTTAAGATTTCTAATTAATTTATTTTTACTTTTCAACATTCACTTCTACAAGATTTTGAGTTCCAAATTTTCTCCCCATCTCTCCCCTCCCCCACCCCAAGATGACCTGCATTTTGAATAACCCTTTACCAATCTGCCTTCCCACCTATTACTCCCCTTCTCTTATTCCCTTCCCCTTCCATTTTCCTGAAGGGCAGGATAGATTTCTATACCCCTTTGCCTGTATATCTTATTTCCCAGTTGCATGTAAAAACAATTTTTAACATCCATTTTTAAAACTTTGAGTTCCAAATTCTCTCCCTTCCTCCCTCCCCATGCCCCCCCCCCATTGAGAAGGTAAGCAATTCGGTATAGGTTATACGTGTGTAGTCATGCAAAACAGTTCCATAATAGTTATATTGTGAAAGACTAACTATATGTCCCAACCCCCCCATTTATTCTATTCTCTCTCTCCTTTCACACAGCCCCTCCTCAAAAGTGCTTTGCTTCTGACTAGTCCCTCCCCCAATCTGTCCTCCCTTCTATCATCCCCCCCTTCTTATCCCCTTCTCCCCTATTTTCCTGTAGGGTAAGATAGATTTCCATACTCATTTCAGTGTGTATGTTATTCCCTCCTTAAGCCAAATCTGATGAGAGTAAGATTCACTCATTCTCTCTAACCTCCTTTCTCTCCCCTGCACTGTAAAAGTTTTTTCTTGCCTCTTTTATGTGAGATAATTTACCCCATTGTTCTCCCTTTCTCCTTCTCCCAGTACAATCCTCTCTCACCCCTTAATTTTATTTTTTAGATATTATCCCATCATATTCCACTCACCCCATGCCCTCTGTCTATATATATATGTATATATACACATACATACATACATACATACATACATACATACATATATATATATGTGCATGTGTTAGGATAGTTGGAGGGAATTTATATCTATCTATCTATTTTTTTTACAGGTATTTGGAGGCATTTGGGGAGAGAGTTCAAGCAAGTCACACTTTTACTCTGACATCTTGGCTTTGCCCTCGTCTTCTGGTTCTTTTCTTTTTTCTTTTTAGTCTCTCCTTCAGGCTCAGAAAGGTTGTTTTGTTTGTAACTGTCCCCTCCCCAATGTTATCCACCCTTTTAGCACATTCTCTATCACTACTTGTCTCTTGGTTGAGGGTGATGTATTTGTTTATCAAATTGTGAGTGTGTTCAACCTTCCTTTGTCTATTTCAGATAATATTGATGTTCACAACTGCTTACTGCTTCTGTTTCTTCCTCCATGTGTATGTATGTATATAAGTATATATATACAAACCTATACACATAAACACATATAATGTTCTCAAACACATGAATACTGAAAAATAAAATGTTCTCCCCCCCTCCTCTTTTCTATACTAGTGCATTTTTCCTTTTATCCTCTTTCCTTCCCCCAATTAAAAGCCTCAGAAGAACCAATCTATCCCCAGGTTCTCTGTTTTTCTTATTTAATGCCCTCAACACTCCTCTATTTAAAAAAAACAATTCAGTAAATTTTATTAAGCATTTATTATGTTCAGGGCTCTGTCCTTTGCTCTAGGGAGGCTAATGAAACACAGGTCCTCATTGGGATACCCTTTTCTTGGGGGGGGGGGTGGCTAGGTCGAGCAGTGGATAGAGTGCCAGACCTGGAGTCAAGGAGATCTGAGTTCAAATCTGGCTTCAGACACTAGCTATGTGTAAGTCACTTACCCCTGTTTGTCTCAGTTTCCTTATCTATAAAATGAGCTAGAGAAAGAAATGGCAAACCACTCCTGTATCTTTTCCAAGAAAACCCAAATGAGGTCCTGAAGAATCAGACATGACTGAAAATAACTAAACAAATGTGCTTCTTTGGTCTAGATTTTTGATTCAATCAA